AGGGTTATAGTTAAAGATGGGGTTAGAGTTAGGGTTAGAGTTGGGGTTAGAGTTAGGGTTAGAGTTAGGGTTAGAGTTGGGGTTAGAGTTAGGGTTAGAGTTGGAGTTAGAGTTAGGGTTATAGTTAAAGATGGGGTTAGAGTTAGGGTTAGAGTTAGGGTTAGAGTTAGGGTTAGAGTTAGGGTTAGAGTTAGGGTTAGAGTTAGGGTTAGAGTTAGGGTTAGAGTTAGGGTTAGAGTTAGGGTTAGAGTTGGGGTTAGAGTTGGAGTTAGAGTTAGGGATTTAAACTTAGGATTAAGATTAGTCGGTGTCTCTGAGTCGGTCGGGGCTGATACAGATCCTAACCTTAACCTTAGCCCCAATCCATAACACCCGTAGAATACTAGTCTTTTAGACTAACTGGGGACTCCGGGATCTTTGTTTGTGGTGAAATTAAAAAAAATAAAAAAAATACACCGAGGCTTGTTTAAAAAAAAAAAAATTTTTAAAGCATCCAGAAAAAAATAGGGATAGGGCTTTTTTGTTGGGGGGGGGGGGGAGGGGGGGGGGGGTCTGGCTTAGGTCTTTTTTACAGGGGAAACCTGGTTGGTGATATAGTCAATATCATTCTGGTTGCCTTTGTTTTCCTTAATAATTCCTGGTTCTCCCTTTGGACTAGGTCTGCATGGAAACCTGGGTAAATTGTAAATATTTGAAATTGACGCCGATTCCGACCCAGCACTTTCCAGTTTGCAGGCTAGCGTATCGCTACTGCGCTAAAGTACTCATATAGTCAAGTTATATTGAATAAAATCCACTGTTGGTTGTAAAATTCAATCCATTAACAATAGTAAACCCGTTTTTATGTAACCCTTAGTCATGTCCCCTGGTTATTGTTTTTAAAAAAAAAGACTCCAATTTGTCAAGAGTAGTTGCATATACACCATAATAGGTCAATTTCCCACGCCTTTAGACGCATTGGGACTATAGGGCTAGACCTATATTTGTATAGACCAATTGGTACTTGGTGGGTGATGTTGTGGTCAGTATCATGCCGGCCGCCTTTACTTCCCAGGACTGCACCTGGTACCCACTCAAGGCTGGGTCGACCTGGTAATCAAGGTCATTTTTGATCCACAGGCGAGCGTCTAGTCGCTAACGCCACGGCGATTCCCATATACATCATGACCTTAATGAAATGTCTTCAATGATTGTTCTCTCTGTGGAATAGTTATTACCACTGGCTACAATCAGTCAAGTTATAAAAATTCATTCCCGTTCCCAACTTTTATGATTCAATCACTAAAAGTAGTCAACTTCGTGTGGGCGCTTGCATCACAGTGCTCGCCAGAAGCATCATTCAATCAATACCCTTTTTGCTCTCTCTCCAATTCTCCAGAAGCTAAACGGCTGCATAAACTACAGGGCAGAACATGGTTCCGAAAATATTCAAAGCAATTTACATTTCCGGTTTTTGTTTTTTTTCCTTGCCTGTTGGCGCCTTTTTTTTTTTTAAAGGCAGAATTCTTTCAACGGAGTCCATGTTTTATCAGAAGAGATTTCAGCAAACGAGAGTTGTGCACCCTAATTTTGGGGACAGAATTTGTGGCGTGACAGCAGAAACGTTAAAGTGTCATTGACAGCTAGAATTAGTAACAGAGATATTGTAAACTAGGACAATCCACAAAAACAATTAACGAAAATCGATCGAGATTCTTGGTTTTCAGCAGATGTTGTTTGAGAAGAAGAAGAAGAGGAAGAAGAAGAAGAGTAGAAGAAGAAGAAGAAAGAAGAAGAAGAGAGAAGAAGAAGAAGAATAAGAAGAAGAGAGAAGAAGAAGAAGAAGAAGCCTAGAAGAAGAAGAAGACAGAAGAAGTTCCTAAGATAGCAGAATAAGAAGAAGAATAAGAAGAAGAAGAAGAATCTGAATAAAAAGGAAAGACGAAGACAGAAGAAAGAAGGAAAGAGAAGAAGAAGAAGATGATGAAGAAGAAGGAGAAAAGAAAGAAGACGAAGAAGAAGACTCATAAGAAGAAGAAGAAGAAGACGAAGAAGAAGAAGAAGAAGAAGAGAAGAAGAAGAAAGAAAGAAGAAGAAGAAGAAGAAGAAGAGAAGAAGAAGAAAGAAGAACTCCCCTAAAAGAAGAAGAAGAATACCCCCCTAAGAAGAAGAAAGAAGAAGAAGAAAAGAAGGAGAAGAAAAGAAGAAGAAGAAAAAGAAAGAAGAGAAGAAAGAAGAAGAAGAAGAAGAAGAGAAAGAAGAAGAAGAAGAAGAAGAAGAGAGAAAAGAAGAAAGAAGAAGAAGAAGAAGAAGAAGAAGAAGAGAAGAAGGAAGAAGAAGAAGAAGAAGAGAAGAAAAGATGAAGTAGTCTCAGCAGCAGGAGTAGTAGCAGCAGTAGTAATAGTAGTAGTTTGAGAGAGAGAGAGAGAGAGAGAGAGAGAGAGAGAGAGAGAGAGAGAGAGAGAGAGCGCAGTGCAGGGGAAAGGGGGAGGCGGCGAGAAAGAGAGAAATAAGGAGGGAAGCTGGGATCAGAGAAGAGATCAGAAACATGAGAAAACTTGACTGTCATGGGATCAATCCTTTTATAATCGTATGTTGGGGAGAGAAAAAATTACTTTTTTTTAGAAGGTAATAAAAATAATGGATAATAAAATTTGAGTATCTAGTGAAAAGTCTGAGTAAATTGTGTGTTTTGGGGGGAATATTTGTCATTTAACTCAGAATACATACAGTCTAAAATATATAACACTATATTATAAGCAACTGTGTTCTACATCGCCGATAATGTAACAATAATAGGTTCTTTTCTGTTATTTTTTCCACATCACGCCGACTGCGAGATTTGGTAGGGAAATCCCTTGGCCGACCCATAGTATAGGGCGGTTAGGGTTAGGCTTAGTAGTAGTCGCTATTCATTAAACACAAGCCCTAACCCTTTCACCCCCACCCCCGACCCATACTATGGGACGGTCTGGGGATTTTACTAACAAATCTTGAAGCCGGCGTACAGTGGTGAAATAACAGAGAAAACAATCCAATAATTTGCGCAGTACTTCGAGAATTAGGTACGCCAAAAAAAAAAAAAAAAAATTAAAATTGAAAAATATTGGATTTTAAAGTTTTAAACTCACGTTGGTCATTACGTATGCAATAAGAAAAATAGTTTCCTTTGTGCATAATATCACCAGACAGTGTGTGGTGCTAAAAAATCTCTTCATACATTTTAAAATGATGAAATCCCTAGGGGATAATCTAGAGTGTCAAAGAAAATGCAACAGGAGAATTATCAGAAAATAGAAACAAGTTAATAGGACCAATGATATGTAAAGCGGAATATATTTTTTTTATAGATAGAAACGAAAGTAAGACCTAATCCGAAAACGAGCGATAGCCTGTTATGTTAAGGTTTCAAGGGTCAGTGGCTTCTTAGTATTATTAACTGTGAGGGAAGAGCTAGTGTTAAGGGGATGTAATTAGGGGATTTAATTAGGGGTCAGTCACGATATATGATTCACAAGGATAAAAATATTTTAAAAATATACAAATAGATCTCTGTACATATCTATACTTTTTTTTAAACCTGTTTTTTTTTTTTAATTTTTTTTTTTTTTACGTATAATTGCTGATTGTTAATTTCGTGTTCACTTGTTGCTCCTACCTGTTTTTATACTTTGTCCATCTGTTGAACTGACCAGCTTGTCACCAACAAGAAAATTCACACATGACGTATATTCAATTGATTCAAAAAAGGACAACGTAAACTATTTCACTGTCGGGCAACTGTCGGTCATCTGTAAAGTATTCATACTCCTATAGTTGGCAGATCTTTCACTAACTTGACAACTTTTCTTTTCTTTCTTTAACTGACTGACTCTTTTCATTCACCGATATATTTACAAACTTTTTTTTTTTTTTCATATAGATCAACGCGTCAACTTTTCCATTGATAGACACTTCTTTAAAGTTGTCACTAGCGAAGATTTGTCTGAGCTTTCAGTAACTTTTTCTCAACTTGGTCAACTTTTTAAAGGTCCTGTTATCTCTTGGAAACTTTATCACTAAGGGTCAACTTGTCAAAATTGTGGTCAACATTGTTTACTGAAGTTATCTTTTCATCATGATCACATAGAGCAACATTTTAACTTGTTGCTCTGTTGGTCCACTTTTCCTACAAATAGCAACTTTTGTTTTAACTGCCAGCTAACTTTTCATTTCAAGCAGCTTAGGGCCTCATAATTTGCAAGTGTTTTAAAAATGCAAATTTTCACAATACAGTATTCTTTTCATATAATCTAAATCTTCCCCTTACTCCTGCCTTAAGAAATGTGTTTGTTAATCTTTTTACGGCATAATTAGTGATTTTACATTTGGCAAATACAATAAAAAAGATTGTTTCAAGTTGTAGCTTGAGCCATTAGGAGGATTATCCACAGGTATAATTTCTTTGATTTTACAAACATATTCTTTATGTCTTTATATTAAAAAAAAAAAAATTCAGTTGAAATATATTTCCAGTATCCAGATATTTAAAAAGCGCACAGATTTTACAGTTTACTTAGATAAGCTGATGTAATTTAAACAGGTAGAGACCTCAATGCTTTTTATAACTTAGAGTTCATCAAGTGAAAATCAAGATCTCTTTATATCCTACAAACTGCGCATCTTCTGATTTTTAAAAACTTTTCCCTGCTCTCTTTCATGTTTGTAGTATAATGCTAAAAAAAAAACGATGTTGTGTTCACATGCTGATTTCTTTTCTTGTGTCAACAAGGATGTTGCACCATATGAGAAAAAAAGATATGTAATGCATTAAATGTACAATCCATTATTATTAGGTGTTATAGTCTTAATCGCAAAAGAATGTGTTGAACTGGTCAATATCTCGTCTCTGCTTATTAAGAAATATCGAGGTAGCGATTTCAAGCTGCAGTGAAATAAGAGTCCATGACAGTAAAAGCCAAAACCCCAAATTCTTTAGTGTTGTTTTTCCCCCATTCCTCTAGTTTTACAGTCTAAAGAAGGGTAAGTAAAGTAAAGTAAAGTTCCCTTTTCACGCCTTTCAGCGCATCGGGCATATGGGCAGAGCGTCCCATATTTTTACAGACCGTCAGCACTCTGTGGGTAATGTGGTCAGCATTACGCCGGCTGTCTTTACTTTCCCAGGACAGCCCATCCTGGTACCCATTTTAGGCTGGGTCGACCTGCGACGTCCCCATACCACGACAAAAATCCACGCAGCCTGCAGTGGGTTTCGATCGCAGTATGCTGGCTTACGAGTCAGACTCGCAACGCCTTAACCACGGACGCCGCAAGGGTAGTAACTCATAAATGCTCCTTTCTACTTCTAACTCAAACCTGAGTCCGAAGTTTCTCAGCGCAGTGCACGAACTCAGTAAAACCAACGAGGTAGATTTTAAACACTAAATTGTGCCCGGGCAGCGCCGTTAGGCTACTCATTTCGATTTCCAGCTGCCAGGGTATTTTTTTTTACGTGCGCAACAATACACACGGGCGCCCGATCTTACAACGTAGAGACCAGAGGAAAAGTTATAGAAGTCCACGTGAAAATTCCAAGCCTTTACTGGGGCTTGAACCTGGGAACTCTATCACTCGAGGTGGACGCCATGCCCCGAGACCACTCAGCCACGCGCTCCCCTTCCCCGCCCCTTAAATCTCACAGAGTCTGGGGAATGGAAAAGTGCAGATCATTTTTTTTCTTTAGAAATATGGTGTGAGAGCCATCGGCACTAGATGGGCGATGAGATCAACAGCACACTGGTCGTCTTCCTTGTCAAGAATTTAGTCCTGGTACCCATTTTAAGCTCGATCCCATGAAAGCTACTTCTCTGCAGATTCGAACCCAAAACCTTCAGCCGAAAGCAAGTGTACAGACACAGTACTACTTCAGCACCAGCATTTAGTAATTTTTTTCTAACTTCATATGTGAATAAACCATTCGACCCAGGATATATGTTGCATTCAAAACCCCACCCGCAGCCTTTACTTCCCAGAAGCTTTCCAGATTTCCAAGTTTGCCTGATCGACCTGGAAAACAACAAGATCTTTTTTTCAACATGTCTGACTAATAAAGTAAAACAAATCAGCCGTTTCCATGCCTTCTGTCGTGCTTGGCTTATAGGGCTGTACCGATGTTTCATAGACCAATCGGCATTCGGTGGGCGATGTAGTCGGCACCACACAGTCCGCCTTTACTTCCTAGAACTTGACACTGTACCCATTAAAGGCTCGGTCGACCTGGGTCTCAGGTTATCACTGAAAGAAGAAAAACAAAATCCGGCTACGTCAGGCCCAGAGCCCACGACCTTCTGATCTGGCTGCTAAGCCATGGCGGCTTGTGCCTGGATAAAGTGTATCCCAAATTCAGTAAACATTTGGTAACTCTTTCTCCATACTTCAGAAACTTACTGTCCCCGCACCTGGGACGGAGTACTCTGCTGGCCGGACACCCTTGCTGGCGAGATAGCTTCCCAGCCTTGCCCGGATTATGTCAACGGATTCAAACCCTGGGGTGAGTTCAACTTAGGATTGTTTATAATTTATGATATATTTAAGTCAGCGTCTATGGCTTAGGCGTTGCGAACGCGCTTCGTAATTCAAGAGTGCTGGGTTCGATCCTAGCAGCAGGCCTTGCACCTTGCTTTAGTTTCGACTGTGGTATTGAGAGCCGACCGCACAGGGAGCAATGCCACACTACTGGACGTAAATTTGCCTAGAAAAACCACAACAGCCAAAGAATGCTGGGGTTGGTTCTGCAACGTAATGTAAAGGAAACGCAACTAACTTTTTCAGATATATTTAATGTGCAACGTATTACAATTGTGTGTGTGTGTTTGTGTGTGTGTGCTGAGTCATAACAAAATTTGATTTTCCTTGGAAATTATTGGTTGGATTCATCTGCAGGTAATTTGACAACAGAATGGTTTGGTAGATTAAGACGACTATGTGAGCGACAAAGCATTTAGAAAGCCATGGCAAACTACTGAGTGTAACTTTTGTTAGTCACAAACTAATTCAATCACTATCACCGCTGGCTGTGATTTCCCATGCTTCCCTTCAATAATATGGAACAATACCGTCTGAAAAGATGGAAAGATGCCAACAATGTGTCCTACGAATAGGCAACGTACCATAAAAACGATAATTTCCACTCTGCCAATAAATACTGCAATACTGCATAAGTACACCCCATTGTGTATGTAACAGGCAGCCCGCCATTTTTTAGTGCAATCTGGTAATCTGGTAATCTTAGTTTCAACTTCATAGCAAACGGGTCGCCCCATAGTTGCTCCGCTCCTGTGCCAACGAAAAACACATAAAATATTTATCACAGTTCAAATGAAATCCGCAGCTTACATTGTTACACCATGCACTCAACTCAGAAGCTGGGCAACGAAACTGTATCCTTCCAGTCTATAAATGGAGCAAAAATGCAATGGCCACCGTGTGGCAAAAAAAAAAAAAAAATTGCCTTGGCTACGAAAAGTGGCCGTGCCTAGCGTCCATTTTGACCTGAAGCATTATTTGAGGGTTAATAAACGGTCACCCCAGTAGTACCCTCACTATTAGCGGGGGAAGGGGGCCTAGGACATTACATCCACCAGCGAGCGTCGCCCCTATAACGACCTGACTTCCTTCGTTAACGACTGTTCACCCAACAGCCATGCAGTTCTTTGGCACGAAGGAGACACCTTGAACTTGTAGTGCTATAAGCAACATACAGCACCCCTGGGCACAACATAAAAAGAGGCGGGGGTAGGAATGGGGGGGGGGACATTGTATATGAAATACACAGCTCACAGGGTCACACTCGGTAGCTTGGTGACCGAGGCTTTGGATGCCTAGTACAGGATTGGGAAAACTGCATCGTAAACAGTGGCTATAATTAAACCTCTTGTCAACGCGTCAGCGGCCAGCCGTCCTGTTTCCCTTATATTAGACCGGAAATCAGGAACAAGTGTGCTTCGACAAAAAGTTAGCTAGACAATCCTTTGAAAAAGATGTCACGGTCAGTCATGCCCATGAACCAGTAACTATGGAACATGGCATAATTTTTATCTAACCAATGAAATGACACATCCGGTTATTTAAATTTAGTAACCTCTCACGAACTTGCCCACAACCAGCTTCGGCTCCACCTTATCAGCCAATCATCAGATAGTATTGATACCTGCACAATACTGTATATGCTGGTCCCTTGGAGGATAGGCAGAGCGAGAGGACTTCTCCGCAATTGTCATCAGATATTGATACCTGCACAATACAGTACCTGCTGGTCCCTTTGAGGATAGGCAGAGCGAGAGGACTTCTCCGCAATTATCACCAGATAGGACTGAAACTCACATAACACAATTTATTTGCCAGAGCGAGAGGCCTTCTCCGCAAGCACCATGTCTCGGAGAAACAAAACCTAACGGAAAGCGCAACGGACAGAGGAAACAGCCCACTGACAGATCCACTCGATCTAACTCGGAGGCCAGGAAGACGCAGACAGATACTACCGAACCACAGGAAGACGCCCCTACTACCAGTGAGGCCCTGAGTGACGTCCCAGCGTCACCTGAACCAACACAGCCAAGTCCACAGACATCTCCAGATCGACGAAAGACAGGCAGCTATGAATTTCCTGCCACAATATTTCTACGACAGACCAACTCGGGCCGGACAGCAATCACTACACTGGCAACGCTAACATTGATCAATATGCTGGAGATCATGTTAGGCAAGAGGGCAGTCGCAAAGATTAGGAGAACTCGAGAAGGAGTGATAGCTTCACTAAACAGAACCAACCGCACCTCAGATATGCTGGATGACATCCAACACGACGGCAAGAAAGAACTCCGACTATCCGAGGAGATAACTGTGACGGCCACCATCTTCCAGAATGTAAGACGCTGGGTGATCCGAAGAGTCAACCTGCAATGGAGCAACGAAGAAATTCTGCAACAAATAAGGAAAGAAAACCCCAATGTCAACATCAACCAAGCAGAGAGACTGGGCTCAAAACGGCATCCATTGCCAGTGGCGGTGATAACATCGGAAGGAGAAAACATCCCGGATAAAGTCTACCTAGATCAAAGAATGCAAAGACCAGAGCAATACGTGCCACAGGTGATCCAGTGCTCTCGTTGTCAAAAAGCATGGCACTCCCGGGCCACTTGTGTGAGCGAACATGAAGTATGCCGATACTGTTTCACAACACCATGCCTTCAACAATTGCCCGCTGGCAAAGCTGGACACAGACTTTAAGTCACCCAATACGAACAGAAAGTGCGCCAACTGCTACGGCCAGCACAGCACCAGGTACCTGGGGTGCCCCTATCTGCAACAATGTAGAGAAATTGCAACCACGGCCATACGGGATAAGATTCCATAACATGAGGCCCGCAGAAGACACGAAGCAACCCAAGGCATAACCGCAGCCATTACCACCAAATTGAGCAACGAGGTGGCTCAACTCAAAAGTGACATCCAAGCTCTCAGAGACGAGAAAGACGCATCCAAAACCCAACGAGATGAAGACAGAGATGAAATAACAGGCCTGAGAGCTATAATGCAGGCGACTCTTGACACCCAGAAACGGATGACAGCAGAGATGACGAAATTCAAGGAGGACATCATGAATGCACTGGCCACTATCCAGACACAAAAGGAACAACCAACTAAGGCAAGGGAAGACGAGGCGGGCATCAATGATCTGCGGGTTAACCAACAACTTCTCGCGAAAGAAATCGCAATGATCAAGAAGGCACTGGCTGAAACAGAGGAAAAGTTACGAAGAGCATACGAAGAAAACAACAGACTTAACAAGGAACTGCAAGCAACCAACAGAGTGATGGAAGAAAGAGAGAAAGCACGGAAAGAGGCAACAAGAAGGCAGCAAATACAGGGAGCCGAGACCCAGAAAAAGCCGCATCAAACACCAGATAAGAAAACTCAGGCATCGCTGATGAAACAGTTTCCGTTGGCAACAATTGACCAAATTAACCAACGCATCATGGAGATGGAGGACCCGAACTTCTATAACTCAGAACTGCAGGATGATGATGTTTTTTGGTCATCACCAGAGGAACCACATCGACAGCCAAAATTTGAAGTCAAACGAGGTCGACATCGTTACCCCAAACACTAATACCAGATACGACACAACCAAAGCCAAATTACCGAAACCCTATGTAGGAGCAGTACTTTACAACAAGGATACGAGAAAATCGCCAAATAATACCAGACCTCAGCAGTATAGCCATCAGTACCTGCCCAAGTCAATCGACCGACGGTCCTTATTAGGATAGGCAATCTACTTTCACCGGAAACAACAAACAGCCAAGGAATACGACAATAAATCGATCCAACATCCAATCATCTTGAGCGCAGCACAGGGCCAGCCAGATTACAAAAACAACAGCAAGAGCGGAAACCACAACAAACAGAAAGTGACAACATTAAACACAATCCAGAATCAAATAAGATCGCGACCAGAAAACGTCACCACAAATATAGCTGAAAGGAAAGTGAGCAGAAATGTGAACGGACCTAGCTGAAAGTGGTCAAAGAAAGAGAATTTGAATTAGAACGAACTTGCCCGAATAAAAGAAAGTTCCTTCCCACCCTGCTCATGCCGCGGTTAATCGCGAGGCCTGTTTTATGTTGTGGATATGTTATGAGATGGCTTCGTCGCATACAATATTTATGGGAGGTTGTGTTGTTGTGAGTCTCTTTGAGGCACCGCAGGCGTGTGTGTAAAAGTAAGAAATACTGCAGGGTGAGCGCCGGAAGCTCGACTGTTCTTGAGCATCAAACCGGAATGCTTTTGAATTTCTACGTTCCTTGGAGGTGGCTCCACACACCCGGAAAAAGAAGCCACTAGCATCGGAAGTAGAAATACAAAAACATCCTAGTTTCGATACTCGCGAACCGTCGGGCAATGAGCACAAAGTAGAAATAATCACGCTAGTCGGCTATGACAACACGAGAAAAGAGAGAACGATTAAACCGTTGAAAATAAGAAATACATGACTACCCCTAAAACAAAGAACAGGCAGTGGGACCGGCTGCAGCATGAATTGGAGGGAAAGGAACTCAAAACATGTCGGCAAGTTCGTGGTAAGCACCTACATTTATTTTAACAATCCAAAACAAAACAAACTAATGGCCATAAATGTTCCGTATGATTTATCTACTTCCGCTTTGGTATATTATTAGTACTGAAGCAACCACACTAAATCAAAAACTTGACAACTACTCGTAACAAGTCTTCCAGTTCAAGCGTAATAAATAAAATTATGGTTTCTTTAGGAACCATTTATAAAACTTTCATTTCTTTATCGTAATGTGCCGTATCAAAAGGCGTAGGCTGTCATGTTTCGTCATCTCACACCATTACCAAAATCATGGTTGTGAAGATCTATAAATGAGATGTTCTTACTGTACTAACTCTTTCATCATCATCCTGTGGTGTCATTATAGGTCACACGGTGTTCGCAGTACCACCATTCCATTATATTATGTGTAATCTTCTTTCCCATATTACAGATGGAATCCAGTCCAGCAACTTTGGCCTCTCTCTCCTCTTTTTACCCAGACAAATGGTACTCTATGGCAATACATCTTTTGGTCTAATGGCGTTGAAATAGACAGTGTGAGACAGAAAATGCTAAACCAGCAATTCGAACAGTATGGGTTAATATCACGCTGATCAGTGACAAAATGAATCGATAACAGTATCTTATGGTGACCTATATACTCGTGACATTGGTGGGTTTTTATTTTCAACGAAAGAATTAAGGATATCGGCACACGAACGCGACAGTGGAGCGGGAAGAACAGAAAGCTTTAGGGTTAGTTGAAGAGGTGAAATACTTTATGATGATACCGGTGTTGAAAGAGTGGGTGTTAGTGGCATGCTGAATAGCGAAGTAAAATGGTGAATTTAATTATGATATCGTGTTTACTGAAATATTCAGTTATGTAAAAAGGACAGAGAAACAAGACAGACATTTTTGTTTTTGTAAAAAGGGACAATTACGAAACTTCAAAGCTGCATGCAATAACGAAGGATAGAATCGTTACACGCCGTAAAGAGCTGCCTGCAATAGCGAAAGATAGAATCGCTACACGCCGTAAAGAGAGCTGCATGCAAAAGCGAAGGATAGAATCGCTTCACGCCGTAAAGAGAGCTGCATGCAATAGCGAAGGATAGAATCGCTACACGCCGGAAAGAGAGTTGCATGCAATAGCGAAGAATAGAATCGCTGCACACCAGAAAAAAAAGCTGCATGCAATAGCGAAGGATTTAACGACTTGCTGTGAAATGGTTGAGGGCCTATGCTCCATTGAAGGTTAAAAAGGCAGAAGAAGACGCCGGAAAGTCTCTCTTTCTTTAGCAAATTCTCCAGACCCATGTGCGTTCATAGCCAAAGCATCTTCAATGTCCTGTATCCACAATCGATGAGGTCTGCCTCTGCCTCATTTTCCGCAAACTGTCCTCTCTAACTTCACAACTAGCCTTAACTCTTTGAGTCCCAGGGGGTTTAGCATAACAGGCCCAAGGGGTAGTCAAGTGAGACGTATAATCAGCCTATCTTGCGTTCATTTGGGCTTTTAGGTATGAATCTATGAACGTATGATGCGTTCCTTTGGGATTTAATGAGTTAATGTAGAAAAACTCATTAAGGACGCGAATATGATGATGCTAGTGATGTTGATTATGATATAGCTACGGGTAGGCTTTAAATGATCTGTACTGATAAAATCGCGATCTACCTTTCTCGTATATGTTTACTACAATTTGCCCTCACAGAGAACTCCACCCGCAGATGCATGGCAGATGGGACATGGTACTTTGATTTCATTCGAAACAGAACATGGACTGACCTCAGTTTTTGTTCTACTAAAGCCGATGACGAGACTGTAGCAAGAACAGATTTTATTAAGGTAAAGTGCAGATACTTCTACATTTATCTATGTTTGAGAATTCTAATTTTTCGCTGAACGGTTAGAATACTGATCTAGAATCAATTAATATTATATGGCTGATGTGGAGAAAATATAACTGTGGCCATCTGTTTAGTACAGCTGGAAATACCTTCAGTGAGACAAGACGCTGCCCTAATGCTGACAACATGGAACGATACTTGGTGTTTTTTTTTTTTTTTTAGCTAATGCCGCTTTCATGCATTTACTTAGCTGTCAGTGACAATTTACAAGTTTAGTTACTTGTTATGAAACTAAGAATACTTTTATTCCAAGGCATTAGTTGCCACAGACTGACTGACTGAAGGATGCAAAACATAAAATGTTTTTAAATGTTTACTATTCTGTACTACATTTTGTGAAGTAAAATTTCAGCGTACATTTGACATTATGAATGTGTTTTCAGATCTATTTTATACACTATACACCATTAGAAAGTGGGAGAATGGGCCTCAGTTTGAATAGTGGGAAGACAGAAGTAATGGTGGTATCAAAGAATAGAATTATTCCTAAATGTGTAATAAAAGTCAATGGTGTTTTTTCGGGACAAGTACATAAATTTAAGTATCTGGGCACATGGATAACATCAAATGGAAGATGGATTGCTGAAATGTCATATTATGAGAAGAGGGAAAATGGAACATATGGTGACCACTGGAAAAATCTGTGTAAGGAGAGATAGAGGAAGACAGCGAGAGAAGATTTGTGACAGTCTTGTTGCATGGCATGGAGGTGAGTCGGCACACGAACTCATACATGCTGCAGGAGATCGCAGATTGTTGCGAGGCATAATCGCCCAGGCCATTCGACAAGGCACCCGATGATAATGATACACTATTCGTATTAGGCCGAAAAGTTGGTCCCGTTATTCGTATTCAGCCGAATATTGAAAATCACTATTCGGTACAGCCCTAGTGGTGTTTATTTGAGTATGTAGTATCTGTTTGAGTTTGACCCAGTTTAATATTTCTCCAGCTGAGTGATTAGCAAATAGATGTAAGATTAGGAATACTAAAGTAACGTTTAGCAGTTTACATATATTAAGTACTTAGAATTTAGCACTTTAGAATTTAATAAAATTTAGCACTCAGTGCCAAACATTGTTGATGAATAGGGCACTAGAACAGAAAATAAATACATGTGAAATGCGTTGTCTCTGTGAGGTCACTAACAATACTAGACGAGACAGCGTTACGAATGCCAGCATTAGAGAGAAAGTTGAATTAAAACCATGTCTGGATTATATTGACAGACAAGGAATGAGATGGTTCAACCGTCTAGTGAGACTACAACCAGACCAAACTGCATATGAGACTTTTCACAGTAGAACATCTGGGAGGAGGGCGAGAGGAAGACCAAGAAAGAGTGTAGCAAAAACCTGAAAAAAGATAAACATGTCCATCATCCAAAATCACTGGAGAAGCGCAAGAGAAATACAGAAAACCACGACACTGGGCTACAAACTACTAACAGTGAGACGACAAAAGAAGAAGAAGAAGAAGCACTTAAAATACTAACGAAGGCCTGTATGTTTAGAATAGTGATCTGCGAACTGAGTGCTTGGTGCTAGGTTTTTAGAAAAGTGAATTTAATTTGCGCATCCACAACAAAGAGGACTGACTACAAATGATACTATATCAATCTACCATTGAGGAGTGATGCGTTTATATAGCGCACCTTGGTACTTTCCTAATATCCTACCCCAAACAAGGGAAATCCACAGGTCACGAGACAGTCTAATATTATAGGGGGTGGTAGATAGGCTGCATGAAGTCGTGGGACCTAAGCTTCATGCAGTGGTAGGACCTAGGCTGCACTCTCTCGTAGGACGTAGGTGGGTTGAAGTTAGGGCCGGTTGTAGATGTTTAGGGGTCGTTAAAAGCATGAGAAAACCGGGAAACCCAGTCTTACCACATTTTAAAATGTTTGACTGTCCTGTGACGTCATATCGGGGTAGTATATTGCTAAAGAACCCACACCGCTCCCATTAATAGTTACATGATGCTTCGCACTTACCTTAACCTTCTTCCCCCTTCAAGTACTAGTAATTCCCCAACTAAAGTGTATCCGCTTGTTTTTTATAAGAGCACCAACCGAACTATACATGATTGTTGCTGTCTAAGAACAGAAGGATGCGTACACTTCCTAATATAACGTTAGTACTGACGATTTCCAAGAAACTGCATTTTTAAATGATTCACTACCCTCTGTGGACACATTACATATAAATTCAGGGAAATGTGGTGTTGATGAGAGCGTTTTCTTTTTAATACAGTTGCTGATTCCACCCTCATATGACAGATTTATAATTTGTTTAGGCGCTTGTTATGCGTTCCATTCTAAATATAAACAACGGCCATATATAACCTGGGTCCTTTTGGTGTAATAATTTATGAAATACCTTTTGCCTTATTGAAAAGTAGACGTTCCCGGAGCGGTTCTAGCATAAGTCTTTTAAATGTTTTAAAAGTCTATCTCACATAAATATTACTTATTAAGCGTATATCACGCTTCCAATGAGATTTATGCTGCTTGAAAATCGATTTGAAAGAGCCACCTCAGAGAGAGAGAGAGAGAGAGAGAGAGAGAGAGAGAGAGAGAGAGAGAGAGAGAACTAGAAAGAGGGACAGAGAAAGAGATAGAGAGAGAGAGAGGGAGAGAGAGAGAGAGAGAGAGAGAGAGAGAGAAACATCCAGACATAGCATAACATGGGAGCCTGCAATTTTTACGGAATTTCCCGCTCATCGTCGCTGGAGCTTTGGAGCACGTCCTTTTTCGACTCTGTCAGCAGACGGCTATCTCTTCTGCGAAGAGAGACAAAGCTATGCATGATAAACCAGTGCAGTGACGTAGATCCTCGCGACTTCAATATAACATTACATTACACGATCTGATATAACAAAACAACATAACATAAAATAACAGCAACATAACATAACATAGCACAACATAACATACGTAAAAATATCAGATGTTGAAAATGATTTTACCATTCTCATTGCAGTCTCACATGGGTACAATCCGACTGATGTACAATGTCGGCTACGGGATCTCTCTAGCATCACTGGTGCTGTCAGTCTTTATCATGGTCAGCTTCAAGTCAGTATTTTACATGTGTCCATTCAATAGCTTGTATGTTAACGGAATAAAGTCAGTAGTTTACATGTTAACTGAATAAAGTCTGTTTTTCACATGTATCCATTCAATAGCTTGTATGTTAACTGAATAAAGTCAGTAGTTTACATGTTAACTGATTAAAGTCAGTACTTTACATGTATCCATTCAATAGCTTGTATGTAAACTGAATAAAGTCAGTATTTTACACGAGTCCATTCACTAGCGTATATGCTAACTGAATAAAGTCAGTAGTTTACATGAGTCTATTCATTGGCTTGTATGTTTACTGGATAAAGTCGGTATTTGGCATTTTTCCATTCACTAACTGGCATTTCATTGTTTGCTAACTGAACACAGTCAGTATTTTACATGTGTCCATTTACTAGCTTGTATGGTTTTCTGAATAAAGTCAGTAGTTGACATGTATCCATTCACTAGCTTGTCATCTTGTTGTTTGATAACTGAACACAGTCAGTATTTTACATGTGTCTATTCACTAGCTTGTCATCTCATTGCTTGCTAAAATGAATACAGACAGTATTTTGTATATAAAAAAAATATAAAGTTCTCTTTTCCAACGCCTTTGTGCGTATTGACAGTAAGATTATACTAGGGCCTCGGACGGTTACAAAGTAAGCTTTAAGTCCAGCCTGGGTGGGGCTGTAATATCCACATTCTTCTTCTTCTTTGCGTTCGGTTTCGTATGCTCAGATCAGACCATCAGGTGGGTTGCCTCTATGAACTCGCATGTCGGCTGCAGGTCCTGCATGGTTCCCCATAGCTTGCTCTGCCCACTTTGCTCTTGAGGCCAGGTGTCTTTTCGAAGTTGCAGGTAGAGTGGGCGAGTCTGCAGAATGTGCTGAGGTTTTTGGGGTCCTGTTTGACAGGCACACTGTGGGGACTGAATAATCTTTATTTTATGCATGTGGTAGTTGAGCCTTCAGTGTCCTGTACGTAGACGGAAAATTGTTGTATGTTGCTTTCTGTTGAGTCTGCTGATGGGGTCTTGTAAATGTTGACTGTTAGTTTGTTCTCTCTACAGTTCCCTTGTATTTTCCTTTGATAAGTGTTCTGATTTCTGGTAATGACAATGAATGGGCGTGTTGTTTCTCCTTTGTTCCATTTTTTGCAAGTCTGTCTGCTAACTCATTTCCTGATATACCGTAGTGAGCCGGGATCCACTGGAGAACGATTTGATTGTTTTCTGTGAGTCTGTTTAACTGACGGGTCAGTTTTCTTTCCATGTTGTCTCGTGGATCCCTATGAGTCGCCTGGAGGACTGATATGCAGTCACAAAGGAAAACAATTTTGCTGTTTTTAATTTTTCTTTCCCCGAGCACTTTGGCTGAATCAATAATTGCTTGCTGCTCTGCTCTGAAGTTTGTTAGAGAGTCTTCAAGGAGGCGCATGACGTTTCAAATTTGTATCCACATACAAAACGTTGTCCCTATGTCGTGAGAGAATAATATAGCAAGACTGTTGTTTTACTATGGAATTTTACATTTGGTAGTTTGTCCCAGTCATATCATCAGATGGAAAATGTTTCACAGAGATTAAAAGCAGAACAGGTCAAGCAAAAGTAGCATTTCAGGAAATGAAAAATATCTTATGCAATAAATAGCTCTCATTTAGTGTCAGAAAGAGGGTGCTAAAATGTTACATAGAAACTGTTCTGCTGTATGGCAGCGAATATTGGAATATCACTGAGCAAATTAAGAAGAATTTGGAAGCAACAGAGATGTGGTTTCTGAGACAAATGTTACGAATACCTTGGATGGCTAGAGTAATTAACAACCATTACTTGAAAGAAACAAATGAAAGTATATGTCTATATACAACAATAAGAAAGATACATACACTGGCCACATAATGAGAAGAGAGACACTGGAGAACATCATGACAACTCAAAATATCAGTGGAAAAAGGGGTAGAGGCAGACCAAGATAGACGATGCTGAATGGGCTGAAACGATGGCATAGAGGGATATCAAGAGAGCTGTTCCAGGCAAGCAGGGAAAGTGATCTGTGGAGACGCGAGAGCGCCTAGGTCAGTTTGCAGGGCATTTGATGATGAGTTTGCCAATACTTCACTAACAGTAGGTATAGATACATTTATATCTTACGTAATATATATGTTGTTACTGCACAGAAAACTTCACTGCCCAAGAAACAGCATCCACGTCAACCTGTTCATATCGTTTATATTACGTGCTTCCATCTCATTCATGAAAGAAAATTTGTTAGTCGACGGCGTTGGCTTCCCTACGGATGTCATTGAGCGTGGCAATAATACTGTTACATTCAGAAATGGAAGCTTGGTAAGATGCTAGTAATATGATACTGCTGTTTGATAAAATAGTGCTGTTTTTTGGTAATCTTATGCCTCTGGTCTCGAGGCATGGTATCTGCCTTGAGTGCTAGAGGTTCCAGGTTCAATCCCCGGTCAGAGCTGGATTTTTTTCACGTGGACTTGGAGTTCTAGTTATTCCAGCTGGTCTCTGGGTAGTGAGATCGGACGCCCCTGTACATTGTTGCGCACGTAAAAAAATCCCTTGACAGTGGGAAATCGAAAAGAGTAGCCTCAAGGCGCTGCCCAGGCAAAATTCGGAGTTGCGAATCTACCCAAAGTATTTCAGGATCCTCGCCAGTGCTACAGAGCCTGTGCACTGTGCTGAGCTTCTTCGGACTCAGACTTGAGTTAGAAGAAGAAAGGAGCACTTACGGGTTACTGCTCGTGTGCCATGATGTTGATCCGTTGTTCAGAACAGCTAAACATGCTGACGTACGTTACTGTATTAGCATCTACAACTTAATACATCTGTTACGGGAGACGGAGCATCTGTGGGTATACCTAGTGTGCTATGGTGTCGATTTTTAAATCAGTAATCAGAACTGTTATTTCTGTGATATGTTATTATGATTTGGTAATAGGCTAATATTATTTGGTAATAGGCTACAATTATTTAGGAATGGGTCACTATTATCTAATAATAAGTTATTATTATTTGGTGTTAGGTTATTGTCATTTAGTCATAGATTACTATTATTTAGTAATAGGCTACTGTTACTGGGTAATAGGTTACTATTATTTGGTAATATTAACTGTTATGACTAACTGACTTTCTACCCAACCAGAACATCACACAAGCAATAAACACCCAATGACACAAAGTGCCACCATGTGGGTGAGGATCACCGTGGAGAGGTCCCAGAAACCGCGTTCAGCTTTTAGGCCATATTTATGGCCAGGCTATGTTACGGCCCCTGGCAAAAGCCAGAGTAGGGCTTCAAATAACGAAAAATTTCATCCTGAAAATGACACAAAGTTTGTATATACTGTTATTTTATAATGTTTTTGTTTTTTATTTGTAATGTGTGTAATACACTACTGTTACAAGGTCCGACAATTAAGTTATGAGACTAATTCCGTAAAAATTAAAATAATCAACAGGTGATGATATAACAGGTATCTTTTTCAAAGTAAGCCCTTTATGCATTGATACAGCAAGTGGCACGATCTAACAAACACTGGAACGACCTCTGTTGTTCTTCTTTTGTTATTACCCTTAAAGTCGATGTTACAGCTCTTTGGATAACATCAATATTGTTAAAGAAGCGTCCTTACAATCGTAACTTTAATTTTGGGAATGGAAAATAATCACAGGGAGGCAAATCTGCGGAACAGGGTGGAAGGCTGAGAACACACACTTGTTTTGGGGCAAAAAATTTAAGTTTTGATGATGTCTATTGGGCACTCAACCCGCTGATGTTTTTGGTCATCAGACAACGAATATGGTGCAAACCGGTAAGTAACTTTTTTTCTTGCCAAAATCTTGCACTAAAATGTTATGAATGGTCTCTCTATTAACACTAGATTCATCCGCCATCATCCTCACAGTAAACAATGATCTTCTTGTATCCGTTCTCTGACTTTTGCAAGGAGTTCATCATTACCAACAGAAATTTGGCGTCCAGTTCTAGGCGCATTAGTAATCATTTCCACACCACTTTTGAATCGTATACCACCTGCAAATTTGTACGAGATAAACAATTATCTCCATAAACTTGTTGCATCAATTCAACTGTTTCAATGGCGCTTTTATTGAGTTTTAAACATAATTTAGTGTTAAATTTTTTTTTATACGTAACAATGCACCCTCTGACTAGGTCAACAGAGTGTCGGCTTGTTTGTTGTATGCCCATCGAGCGGCAACGAAAAGTTGCCAGATCATAGAATAATGTTGCTTCTTTAGATTCCATGCTTTGCTTCATAGATGGCATTTTGGTCTTCGCCATAATAAAATCAGTCTCATTACTTAATTGTCGGAACTTGTATTTGGTATATTTTACTCTTACTTGGTAATATGCTACTCTAATTTGGTAAAAATTCCCAGTTTGTGTGTGTGTGGTAATTTGATCCTATTAAATTTTAATATACTACTGCTACTTTGTAATGAGTTACTGTTATTTGGTAATAGAAGACTGTTATTATTAGCTTCCATCAATAAAAACTGCATTTCTGGTGTGGGGCTGTCTGTGTTATAACCTTCGACAGCTGCCTTGTGCATTTAATTCGTGTGTATTTTTATGGATATCCTGGGACTGCAGTTGTGTCAATTTTTCCGCAAAGGAGAGTAATGGATGTACTGTGCCATTTTCTTTGGCATGGGAACTGAGCAACAATTGTGTGGCCAGTTTTATTTTAAACTCAGACAACGATTACCAGCGATATTTATTTATTTATTCATTTGTTAATTTATTTAATTTTAATTTCTCGGTGCTATATTATATCCTACCCCTAACAGTGGAAATCCGCTGGTCATGGGACAGTGTAATATTTCAGGGGATGGTAGATAGGCTGCACAACGTCGTAGGACCTTAGCTGCATGCAGTCGTGGGACCTAGGCCGCACTCTCTAGTTGGACGTAGGTGGGTTTGGGTTTAAGTCCAGTTCTAGATGTTTTAGGGTAGTTAAAAGCACCAGAAAGCCGGGAAACCCAATCTTACCACCCTCTAAAATGTTGGACTGTCCTGTGACGTCATCTGGGGTAGGATAATAATAAATAACCAATTTCTCAAACAGCACTGGGAATGCAAGTTGTTCTTCACGTGTTTCCATTACATACTTGGAGCTAATTACATGTGGATTTTTGCCGAAGCTCTTTATCTGCATATACTGATCTCTGTGGCCGTCTTTTCTGAAAGAAGCAGTGTCAAATGGTATGCTTTGCTTGGATGGGGTAAGTTACCTGTGCGAACAGAAAGAATATACTTTTTTTTTTTTTTACATGTAAAACTTGCTCAACAAAATGAAATATCTTAATGTAAAATATGAATCTTTGTGTAATGTGAAAAATCTTCACATTATTTTATAATTGGCAACAAACCTATTGGGTCAAGCCCCCTGAGCTACACTAGCCTAAAAATATGTCCTCTAACTAGATACCTGGTTGGTTAGCCAGCTAGCTAGCTAGTTTAGTTAACTAGTTAGCTACTAAGCTAGTTGGCTAGTTAGTTAGTTATTAATTTAGTAAGTTAGTTAATTGATTAGTTTGTTAGCTCTTTTGTTAGTTAGTTAGTTAGTTAGTTAGTTAGTTAGTTAGTTAGTTAGTTAGTTAGTTAGTTAGTTAGTTAGTTAGTTAGTTAGTTAGTTAGTTAGTTAGTTAGTTAGTTAGTTAGTTAGTTAACTAGTTAATTAGTTAACTTTTTGGTTGGTTAGTTAGTTAGTTGGTTAGTTAGTTAATTGGTTAGTTAGTTAGTCAGTTAGTTAGTTAGTTAGTTAGTTAGTTAGTTAGTTAGTTAGTTAGTTAGTTAGTTAGTTAGTTAGTTAGTTAGTTAGTTAGTTAGTTAGTTAGTTAGTTAGTTAGTTAGTTAGTTAGTTAACTATTTGGTTGGTTAGTTAGTTACCTATTTGCTTGGTTAGTTAGTTAGTTAGTTGGTCAGTTAGTTAGTTAGTTAACTATTTGGTTGGTTAGTTAGTTAGTTGGTTAGTTAGTTAGTTTGTAAGTTAGTTAGTTTAGTTAGTTAGTTAGTTAGTCAGTCAGTCAGTCAGTTAGTCAGTCAGTCAGTCAGTCAGTCAGTCATCAGACAGTCAGTCAGTCAGTCAGTTAGTTAGTTAGTTAGTTAGTTAGTTTGTTAGTTAGTTAGTTAGTTAGTTAGTTAGTTAGTTAGTTAGTTAGTTAGTTAGTTAGTTAGTTAGTTAGTTAGTTAGTTAGTTAGTTAGTTAGTTAGTTAGTTAGTTAGTTAGTTAGTTAGTCAGTCAGTTAGTTAGTTAACTATTTGGTTGGTTAGTTAGTTAGTTGGTTAGTTAGTTAGTTCGTTAATTAGTTAGTCAGTAAGTTAGTTAGTTTAGTTAGTTAGTCAGTCCGTCAGTCAGTCAGTCAGTCAGTCAGTCAGTTAGCTAGTTAGTTAGTTAGTTAGTTAGTTAGTTAGTTAGTTAGTTAGTTAGTTAGTTAGTTAGTTGGTTGGTTGGTTTTTTGGATGGTTGGTTGGTTGGTTGGTTGGTTCGTTAGTTATTTATTTAGTTAGTTAGTTAGTTAGTTAGTTAGTTAGTTAGTTAGTTAGTTAGTTAGTTAGTTAGTTAGTTAGTTAGTTAGTTAGTTAGGTAATTAGTTAGTTAGTTAGTTGGTTAGTTAGATAGTTAGATAGTTAGTTAGTTATTTAGTTAGTTAGAGTTAGTTAGTTAGTTAGTTAGTTAGTTTGTTAGTTAGTTACTAAGTCGATATGATGATATACATACTTGATTCACTATGCAGTCACTATAGATCACATTCTCATTCACTCTCTTTCAAACTCTGTTACAGTTTCCCCGGTATTGTTTGTCCTGCCATGGGTGGTGGTGAGAGCTACTCTTGAAGATGAATAGTGAGTACAAAACATGAGTATCAGACATTGCACTCGTTAGCAAATAAGTTATTATCAAGAGCCGTAGGAGCCGCAGTCTGAGAATGTATGAAATCAGGGCGAGAGTTAGCGTTGATGATGTAGCAGCCTTTCATTTGCATAGACGGTCTCTTGACTGATTAACTGATTGATTGGTCGGTTAGTTGGTTTGCTGACTGATTGAATTATTGGTTGGTTGGTTAGTTGACTGACAAATTAAATGATAAGTTGGTTGGTTGTTGGTTGATTGACTGATTAAATTATTGGTTGGTTTGTTGGTTTATGAACTGAGGGAATTATTGGTTGGTTGGTTGAATGATCGAATGATTGGTTGGTTGGTTGGTTGATTGACTGATTGAATGATTGATTCGTTGGTTGGTTGATCGACTGATTGAATGACTGATTGAATGATTGAATGATTGGTTGGTTGGTTGATTGACTGATTCGTTGGTTGGTTGATTGACTGATTTAATGATTGGTTGGTTGATTGACTGATTGAATGATCTATTGGTTAGTTAGTTGATTGACTGATTAAATTATTTGTTGGTTGATTGACTGATTGAATGATTGGTTGGTTGGTTGGTTGACTGACTGAATGATAGTTGGTTGGTTGCTTGAATGAATGATTGAATGATTGGTTGGTTAGTTGGTTGATTGACTGATTAAATGGTTGATTAATTGTTTGGTTGGTTGGGTTCAGACTGACTGAATTATTAGTTGGTTAGTTGGTTGACTGATTGAATGATAGGTGGTTTGGTTTTTTAATTGACTGATTGAATTATTAGTTGATTGGTTGACTGACTGAATAATTGATTGACTGACTGACTGATTAATTGATTGATTGATTGATTGATTGACCTACTGGTTGATTAGTATGATTGATTGATTAATTGGTTGATTGAATAATTAAAAATCCCAAATCCAAACTACATGCAGTGTAAATTTAATTTGAATTGTAAAATTCAAGTAAATTTATCCTTACACTCCTTGGGCATATGAAGCTAGACTCATATTATTATAGACGCCGGCCGCCTTTATCTCCCATATATATATATATATATATATATATATATATATATATATATATATATATATATATATATATATATCTATATATGTTCGTATACGGCTGGTAGTAATAAAAAATGAAAATTGTTTTCTTTCAGTTGTTGGAATACCCACCCAACTCCAGGGTACTTCTGGATAATGAGAGCGCCTATTGTACTGTCTATTGTGGTAAGTAGTGTTTTTTGGCCTGATTGTCCTTAGTTATTGTGGTAAGTAGTGTTTTTTGGCCTGATTGTCCTTATTCTTCTCTTCTTAGTATATTTTCACTTTCCAAACTATACTAAATCAGCTCGCCGTAATTTGATATACACAACGCATTAACATCGTGGCACAAATGTAGTAACCCATAAGTGCTCCGTTCTGCTTCTAACTCTAAGCCTGACTCCGAATAATCTCAGCGCAGTGAATGAACTCTGTAGCACCGGCGAGGATCCTGAAATAGTTTGGGAAGATTTTGAACTCCAAATTTTGCCCGGGCAGCGCCGTTAGGCTCCTCTTTTCGATTTCCAACTGCCAAGTGATTTGTTTTTTACGTGCACAATAATACACACGGCCGTCCGTTCCTACTACTCAGAGACCAGGGGAAATTACTATAAGTCCACGTTAAAAAAAAGCCTTCACCAGAGCTTGAACCCAAGACCTCCAGCACTTGAGGCGGACGCCATGCCTCGAGACAACTCAGCCCCCTAGCTCGCGTTGAGAAGTCTTTCATAATAGACCAGATAAGGCTGGGGTTGAAGCTCCTCCTCCCCACAGCATAAAGCCTCGACAGTATTATAGAGACTGTGTGTTGCGCATACATGATGATGATAAGCATATAACTTGTTTATTTTTATTGACAAACATGAAACATTACATGTTAACATTTTTTTTTAAATTTAGTTTAATCAGCCGCCACGTGGTTGTGGTAACTGAAGGAGGAGGAATAGGGAGATACATTTATCCACTGTCGTTATATGGCAAAGAACAGATCTCTCATGCATGCCAACAGTCAATCTGAATTGAAATAGTAGAGACAGACAGACAGACAGACAGACAGACAGACAGACAGACAGACAGACAGACACAGACAGACAGACAGACAGACAGACAGACAGACAGACAGACAGACAGACAGACAGACAGACAGACAGACAGACAGACAGACAGACAGACAGACAGACACAGACAGACAGACAGACAGACAGACAGACAGACAGACAGACAGACAGACAGACAGACAGACAGACAGACAGACAGACAGACAGACAGACAGACAGACAGACAGACAGACAGACATGAAACTCAGTGGTACATAGTCGATCCTCTTGTGTGTGAACACTTTTAATGACATTAGATGGATGTGCTGTTAAGTTCTTGAAGTGATGTTACATCATTCACAAGTATGTGTTCGTGTATGTCCCTTATATCATGCGTGCTAGAAGGAAGCTCCCAATTGTTGCTGCATATTAAACAACTGGCATGTTTAAAGAGAAAAGATACAAACTTTTTTAGGAATTTTTTTTTCTGTCATGGAAAACATGTCACACAAGCATTCGTACATTGTGTTGATGACGTAAGCTGTGGAGATAGCATTATCACCCGTGCCAGTTGGTCAGGATCTTGCATGATGGTGATGATCATCAAACGAAGGTTTCTCTACTAAAAGGTCCAAAGGATGGGGCTTTGAATGAAGGAGAGGCGCTAACAGAAATAGTATCGTATTCCTCGGGATGCCCCTAAGAACTGGCTGTCTCTCAACAGATGTCGAAGTGTAGTGACTCCCAAAAAGCTCTGGTCCTTTTTACTGCCGACTGTCTCTTTTGTTTTAATAGTCACACTAAAGAATGTATTGCAATGTATAAATATTAGCTGCAGATCCACTATGCAAATAAGACAAGAGACCTGGCAGGATCATGCACCACCCCCCCCCCCCCCCTTCCTCCCTTTTCCATCAGGCCCCCATATGGACACCAGAAGGGATGAAAAAACGACGAAGGCCAAGAGAGGACCCTGTGTGGAACCGTCACCAGAGAAGGTTTAACCATGGGCCTGATAACTTAACCATGGGCCTGATAACTTAACCATGGGCCTGATAACTTAACCATGGGCCTGATAACTTAACCATGGGCCTGATAACTTAACCATGGGCCTGATAACTTAACCATGGGCCTGATAACTTAACCATGGGCCTGATAACATCCAAGACCTAAAGCAGGTGGCATCGGACCGTCAGACACGGAGAGCTATGACTTCTGTCCTATGCGCCGTCCTAGGCTCATCTTTACGTCTTCTTTTACCGCTTCGGGTATCGAGGGAGATATAAGGTTCTGCTTCGTATTCAGTCCGTTTATATCTTATTGTATTTGTTGTAGTAAATCCATTGCGGCTTGCTAGGACTATCGCAACTTCACAAGTGCCCCATTGGCCTGGAAAGACTAATTAATAAATATTAGAATCATAAAACGGTTGCATTCTAAAGTTTAGGGCTGTTTCTGACCACTTAAATTTATTTTGCAGTTCCCCGAAGTTCCGCCGACCTTCCCACTGATAACACTGTCGTAGTGTATTATTGCGTACTACGCAGATCATTTAGTACTTAGTAGCTTTCCAATTGCAAACGATCTTTCCATAGATGTAGAACTAAACAGAAGAATAGGAAAGACGTTTCCAATGTTTCCAAACTCGCAGAGAGTGTGGTCGAACAAAAAGATTTCATCGCGAGACTTTGTCCCCAAAATTGTTTGACACCCTCTGGAAATGTTCTCACATTTCGCACCTCTGATGGCTATGCTACTTCGTGCTTCTTTGGTCTGTGAGTTTGTGTCTGGACTAGTCTATTTAGTTTACATTCGGAACAGTGATAAGCATCGTGTCTAGTCTTTGCTGGCATAGGAACGGAGCCATTATGTGGTGACCTGTTAGCAGGTAAGTGGAACCTCAAGTGATAATATAAACAGCTTGTCTAAGATATGAGCTGCTTCGTATCCCCGAAACATTGCCACGGACTTACAACTAAGGAAGACATTCATGGAACAGGATCACTGCCAAACAACTTGCACAAAGACTGGGGGAGGGGAGGGGGTGGAGCCGTTCCTTATTCGTAGACAACATGTCCTTCAAGAAGCAAGAAACACCAACCTGTTGTATAACAAGAAATGCTATATGTTTTTTCTTTTTAAAAAATCTTTTTATGTCAGTGGTGCAAAGCTAGCCGCTTTTATTTCCCAGATATTTGCCTGGTACCAATTTTAGGCTTGGTCGACCTGGGTGTAAAAGTCATTTTTGAAGACTAATCCGACTCGATGTGGGCTGGTTAAAAACTGACATTGCAGCATTCGGGATATTTCGAAATTCGCTCCTTCCTCATCTTCAGCAGCCAGTGAAGAGTTCCATTTCTAATAGGGCCAGAAACAGTTTGATTAGGTGTCTTCCTTGTCTTACCACTGAGTATAGAGTGACCACCAGATGCTTTGGTAACTCCTA